ATGTTTGACACATTTACATTCCAGTCGGTGGTTATCACTTGAGTACCACTACCGCCAATTGGAATACTGCAAAGGTATAACACATTTTATCAAAATATCTTAGTAAGTAATTCTCACTACTGAATTTCATTAGGACTATCGAAATCTGAAGCCTAAAAAGGCAACGATGGTAAAAATGCAAGATTTCCTTTTTGTGATTTCGCAATTTTTGATATCATTTTGTTTTCGTGATAGTATTGACGCTTTCTTAATATCGTTCTTCTGTGATTTATTGCTCTTGCGTTTCATAAACCAATCAGATTATAAATGAAATTCTGTATACATACATAAGCAAATCAATGACAAGCTTATTGTCAATGTTTGCAAAAATGTATTAACCATACAATTGTTTAATTTATATTGAAATTTGATAATTATATAGAATTGTAATTTCGTGTAAAGAGCAGAAGGATGAATTTTAACGCTTTTGGTCTCGTTACGTGAACATTAACCAGTAGATGGTTCGTTCATCCCTTAATGAGAGTAATGTCTAAACGTTGCTTTGTATTGTAAACCTGACTGTAAGTATCTGCAAAAAAAATCTTTCGAAAGTATCTGGTTTCCTAAATAAGTGTTTTGCTTCTTCCTCAATGTCGATCTCCATTTTTGATTAAAAAAATCATAATAAAATATTTCAAATTATGTAACTGATATGTCCTTTGTTTAGAACATATCATAAATTACTTATATTCCAGGCAGCATGTGAAAGTGCATCTTCAAGACTTGTCATAATTGATAGTCAACAGGAGAAGGACAATTTGCTGTCGTTAAACAATAATCAAGGTCAGAACTGAAAACAAACCTGATACATGTAACTGCCCGCTAATTTGAACAATTGTTATTCTTTGATTTAACTGTAAATTGATAAATGATTAAATTACAATGTAAACAAACGTAGATAAGGTTTTTGTATGTTAATTTAAAATAATCAAATCATCAGGAAAATACTTTTACTTTCATATTAAGAATCAAGCCAGCCATATGCCAGCCATATGAACTCTTTGGCGCATAATACTTTGAAATTCACCTATCTGACGTCATTGATTACGTTGAAAATTGATTGAGATTCGTTTACTGGCGTAAAATTTAATTTTATATCGTATTAATTCTTCACTTTAGACTTTAATCATTGGATCGGACTGACGTGCGATTTTGGTCGTGATTGTACGTGGATTGATGGCCGTAGAGCTGATTCAGGATACCAAGTAATGCAGCAGTCGTTATTATACAATTATTGACTAGTGTGCCACACAGACACTTGGGGTTTGGAGCTCAAAACGCTTTTAAAATCCAAATAAAATGCATATTTGTCAATCCCAGCACATGTACTGATCATATATATCAAAAAAACTTAATATAGGCCGTTTTGAAAACAATTCATATTTCAACATCTATAATAATACACAAGATAAAAATGTTCGTCGGAAAAAATCCGCACCCCTACCGTCATAATCACCATGTATTTTATTCCATTTCCAATATTTTCACATAATCCTTTGGTCCATCGACACAGAAGATATAATTCTTCACGATGATGGTCAATTTTTTTCACTTCAACGGTAATATAAACAACGCAACAGCCGAAATAAACATCAAGATTATCGCCGTTTTCCTTCAATGACATTATCTTTCGATAAATTCAAACGTGCCAGTCGGCTATGACCGAAGCCATCCGAGTATGTGGTTCCCAAACTTAAAAGCGCTGCGCATTTTGCACACGGCAAAGCTGAGGCCACATTATCGGATAGCTTCGGTCAATAAGCTTGTCATTGATTTGCTTATGTATGTATACAGAATTTCATTTGTCTCATTATTAAGATAGCCTTGAAATCATAACATGATGCTACATAAAATTATATGTAAGATAGTTACATAAAGGGGTCATTGTTAAGTATGATTAATTGAGCAACACGAGCTGATCTCAGTTTTCCGGTGTCACGTAGCTAAAATCCAAGGAATATTTATACAATCTAGATGCTTGTCATTTATGTACTTTGTTGATTATTTAATTCCTTCAACTATACAAACTTTGTAGCATAGTCTATAATCTGATTGGTTTATGAAACGCAAGAGCAATAAATCACAGAAGAACGATATTAAGAAAGCGTCAATACTATCACGAAAACAAAATGATATCAAAAATTGCGAAATCACAAAAAGGGAAATCTTGCATTTTTACCATCGTTGCCTTTTTAGGCTTCAGATTTCGATAGTCCTAATGAAATTCAGTAGTGAGAATTACTTACTAAACGTGCCAGTCGGCCCCAGCTTTGCCGTGTGCAAAATGCGCAGCGCTTTTAAGTTTGGGAACCACATAATCGGATGGCTTCGGTCATAGCCGACTGGCACGTTTGAATTTATCGAAAGATAATGTCATTGAAGGAAAACGGCGATAATCTTGATGTTTATTTCGGCTGTTGCGTTGTTTATATTACCGTTGAAGTTAAAAATTGACCATCATCGTGAAGAATTATATCTTCTGTGTCGATGGACCATAGGATTATGTGAAAATATTGGAAATGGAATAAAATACATGGTGATTATGACGGTAGGGGTGCGGATTTTTTCCGACGAACATTTTTATCTTGTGTATTATTATAGATGTTGAAATATGAAATTTTTTCAAAACGGCTTATATTAAGTTTTTTTTATATATATGATCAGTACATGTGCTGGGATTGACAAATATGCATTTTATTTGGATTTTAAAAGCGTTTTGAGCTCCAAACCCAAAGTGTCTGTGGTGTGCCATTGAATATGATGTGATGATATTCACCGGCAAATGACATATTGACCGAGGCGATAGATATATTGTATCAATTGAGAGCTTACACTACCTCCTGTGCGATACGTGGAAAACGTGGTAAAAAGCGAGATATTGGCCTAGTTGTTTTAATATTTGAACACCCCTCGTATTTTAAGTAGAATTTAACCTTTAGCAATGATTCCGTGCAGGCGGTATTCGTTTCGGATGAAATATACAAACCTAATTCCGTCATACAGGTATTTATAAAGTTTACCTTTGACATATTCAAAAGAAAAAATGGCAAGTTTTTACTTTTATTAATCAATTTAAATAATTCGGCAAGAATATTTTATTACTAGTCATGCGATTCTTTTATATTCACAGTCATGGGCGGAAGGTGAACCGAACGATGAGTTTTGTGTTTATATGGGTTGGCTTGGCAACAACTGGGATGACACTAGGTGCAGCCACATGAAACTCTACATTTGTGAAAAAATCTGAACTGAACCATTTTATCTTTCATTCTTGGGTATATGTTTGATACTAAATTGTTTGTTAAGTGTTGAATATAGTTGCAGTGTTGTTTATTAAGTGTTTAATATAGCTGCATCTTTTCAAGAAAAAAAAGATTACTTTTTGTTAAACAGACACATGTTAATTGTATGCGAACTACACGAGAAGTAATAACGTTAGGCTTATACTGTATTATCTGGTATAGCAATCAAATTAGTTACATTTCATTAATTTAAACATTATTATTAGTCCTTTATTCTTTGATTGTCCCTTTCAATACGTCATGTCTGACCATTACTCTTCGTATTTCTTAATGATTGTTACCATATTCATCATAATGAAAACAAATTTCATGGCATTACAAACACAATAGTGTCAAAAGGTAGTTCACTGTCCGTTTAATTTCATTTGAAAAGCCATCAAAACTATTTGACAACTTTTGATTACAATGACAACCTGTTTCAATTGTTTAAATTTGACCTTTATTGTAATATAACTGAAATGTGTACAAATATTTATACATTGAATTAACGTACAATGTTGTCATTGTCCTTATTATTTGTACAATGTTATAAAAAAAGTACTGAATGGAATAAATAAAACACTGATTGCTTCAATTATTCTATTGAAACAAGATATCAACTTGAATAACATTTTATTTCTATGATAACAGAATTGATTAAAATAGAAAAAAGAATTATTGAGCATTGTTTCCTTAAATGGGCTACTTTAAACTTTTGTTTTACCTGTTGAATACACTTATATGAGAAATACATTTATAGTTCTGTTACCACGCTTGATATATCAAATGGATAAAGCCCGTCATCATATTATGGGAGATTTCAAAACCGATACTGACGGAAAAGCATACCGTTAAGATCACCTTGCACTAAAATACACCTTTCTGTATTATACACCCGCATTTCAGGCAATTTAGAAGATTATTTTCGACAATTTACTTTCTAAATGAACAAGACTGTTGTACCTTCCATTATATCTCATGAGTAGACCAAAACAAGTTTGCAATTTTAACATTACTGCTTTGTTGTCAGTGCATTATTGTCCAAAATTTTATAAAAATCACCATAAAGTCATAATAAAATTCCAAAAGCATTATAATGTGTTTATTTCTGTGGAAAATATCAACATTTACATGATGTTTGAAACCTTGTCTTCGTTAATCACGAACTATGTACTTGGTTTTGATTGATTGATTGATTGATTTTCTTTATTCCGGGGGCGGTCAAGGATAACCTACGAAAGTGCAAGCACTTCTTTCCAGTAGGGTCCTTACCTCAGCAGACTCTAGAGACAGCTATGAGATGCAAGGGAATCCAGGAACAAGCTCTTATTGAATAGATTCTTTGGTTCTTTTACATGCCCAGTGTATAGCATTGATACATGCGAGGATAACCTTGGTTTCGTACCAGTAAACCTCTAGTTAGGTGGGAAAAAGTGAAAGTGTTTTTGAAATATCCCAAAGGTGTTACCAAGGATCGAACTCGGAACCTCAGAAGTGACAGTTTGTGGTCTAACCAACTGAGCTATCGCGCCATCTGGTTTAATCATTAATAAATTTTCTACAGCTCTAAAATTCTCACGACATTTATTAGTGTGTACATGTTATAGACAAGTATAACTCTAAAATAATGGTAAACAAAACAATAAGTTAGTTTTCTAGAGATAAGATGTAATGATGAATTATGCACAATAATGGTGTTCATATTTAATAGTGAAGAAATAATAGAAATAAGGCTATTATACATGTATACTTGTATATGTTTTCTATTTGTGTGTGATGACAATCAATCCTTATGCAAATCATATTAAAATTGTATATTTGTTTGATATTTGTGGCGTTTTATGCTGAATTTGTAAATATTGAAATGATAAACACGTGTAATGCAATTAAAATCTCAAAAGAGACATCATACTTTATAACAAATCAAGTCAAATATATTATTGGCAACAACAAATACATGTTCATCGCCTAGATACCGTAGTAGATATAACATGTTTACATTGCATAAGAAAAAGATGGTATACAGTTTACAAAACTACTGCAAAAAATATCATAATGTCAATATGAGTCACAGAAGTATGATTATACCGAATACAATAATATAGAAACAAATAACGACACATATAAAATGATCTGTTTTAGCTTCTCATATACACCAATAAATAAACTCAGCTAAATAAACTATTATTTTCTTTTGTGAAGACTGCATAAATGATATTGAAATTGAAAATTATTGATGGTTGGTCAAGCACAAAAATATCGAGGACTTCTCAGTTCCCTATAGAATGGACAAACTAATAAAAATGATATTCATTTTCTATTTGATTCAAGCTGCATTTCATACGTATACGTGAATTTCTATCGCCATTTCTATATCTTCCATCTTCTTTTTACAATTAATGTGATAAACATCTAAACGTGAACGCTTTACGGTGATTGATGTTATTAACAACATCTAAGTATCTTTCTTGAATAAAATTGTAACTAGATAACCTTAGGAAAACTACTTCGCTCAGAACACCATTGCTGTAATCATTGATCATAAAGTCTTTGTATAATATTCTTTGTGATATTAACATTGGTCCATTAATTTCCATCACATAAATCTGATAGCATTTTCCTAACGTTTTTTGTCCATAAATAAGTCAAATTAAAATTGAACCTGTTATAAACATTACTTTAAAAATAGTGTCGGGGGCTTTCATACTTCCATACCAAAATTTGATTATTCGCAGTTTGTGATGTACCGTCATAGAAAATTACCAAATAACCAAGTACTGCTGAAGTTGATGTTTGCGGAGAACGCCTGAAACTTATATTAAGTGAACTATTACATATACTGCCTATTACTTGTTTTCACAATTATACTGAAAATCATTATAATCCCGACTCATTTCATTTCATGATAATTGCACGTTTTAAGATGAAGACTGGTGAAATTTTTTTGTAAAAGTCTTCAACTTGGATTAAATCTGTTCACAAATATAATTCCTCGCACCTCCACATCCGGCGTCGTCCCACAGTACGCTCTGACTTCCTATCCAAACACAATTGGCTCCATTAGGTTCACCAGGCGCCCATGCCTAGAAGAGATACACGTATTGATCACATTTATTTTGTAATAATAATTATGGTGACAAGTTTTTTTCTCAAGAGGAATTAATTTTACGAATAATTTACCTTTTTACTTATAGCAAAATTATTTTTAAAGAATTATAGCTTAACGATTCAAATATTACTGAGTATGCTTTATTTAAAAGTGAATCAATTATTTATTAATAACATTTTTTATTGTGTTAAGGGGAGGACCTTCGCAGAAAGAATAAAATGATAACGAAAGGTTGAAAAGTCACATACTCGTTTTCATTTAGTCTGTTAAAAATCAGGGAAAGAACAATAGATCTTTCGCTCACCTAAGCGCTGGCTGATCTGCAACATTTTGATTTGCAGGACAAAAGTAAATATGTTCGTATACAATTCATGACATTTAAATATACAAGTGCAAAGATATAGAAATTATTGAAAAAAGAGATCCATCGACAGCATTCAATTTGACAACAGCAATAAAATGAAATTTTAAGACAAGACTGCAATAAATTTGTTTATAAAAGACATTGTATCAATTATACGCGAACTAGTTGTTGAAATAAAAAGAAACAAAACTATTAAATAGCATTGCATAGATTCTTAATATTTGTAATCTAACATACTTGGAATCCAGAAGTTACGTCTCGACCGTCAAGCCACACACAATTTTGTCCGTTATTGCATGTCATTCCAATCCAATGATAAAAATCTAATAATTAAAGGAATAAAAACATGTATCAATGTCGCTTGACACAATGTGTACGAAATTCAATATAAATTATCAAGAGAGGTAATGTTTACATAACTCTGTAGTATGGGAAGAGTGATTGTACTGATTTTCAGTGCTTACCTTTATCCTAAGTCTTAACAAATACTTTTACTGTCTTTAAAATATACAGAAACAAAGTCCCTAAAAAGGTACAAACCGGTAAAAGTTTAACATAATTGAGCTCGTGAGCGCTTCCTTCTTAAATTGCTTATTGCAATGCCTATTACATTAATCATTTTATTTGATAAAAATAAAACAACATTTTCACCTTGTATATCAAATGCGGTCATTAAATCGTCTATCTCCTGTTGGCTATCGAATATAACAAGCCTGGCCGCCATAGCTTCACATGCAGCCTGAAAACATTTTATTAAATTAAAACTATCAAATTAAGTTTCAAATGAAATTAACTCAGTTATATATTTCAAAAGCATATAATATATAAAGGTCAGTTAATTTAAAAATATAGTGTAAACATTAAACTGATGTGGAAACTATAAACTAGATCTTTTATGACAGCTTTATGGTTCAATATTAGCAACTTAATGGTGACGGGTTTTCAACGTTTTTGCATTTGCGTTCCGCCATTTGCTAAAAGCGTTTAATACGATATTTGTACAATCCAGCCATTTCAATTTTACCTTTGCAAGATCCCAGGACATGGTATCTTCACTCATAAAGTATCCATTTACTGCAAACATAATAAATTTATATTATAAAACGCTCTTTCTGTAAGGTTATTTTGCTTTTACAATAATACTTGTATAAAATGATTATCGAAAATATATTTTATAACATTTTGAACATACTCAGTAGACAAAACAAAAAGTTCAGCAGGTGCGGCCAATGAAGAGATATCCATCATTTCAGTGTGCTTTAAGATTTCTTTTTTATTGTAATATTTTTTCTATTTATCGTATCAATAAATATTGTATGTGATATTTTTTTCTGATAATTTTTTCCGTTAATTTGGAAATTTTTTCTTGATATAGAATGGAAGTCATATTTCCTCATTTGTAAATGTAATAACAAATTTTGATTGTTTTAAATTTACCAAATCTGTGGCACTCCTCGTCTTTGCAATTTTGATTGTCCACACTTGACCCTTGACATTGTTCTCCACCATTGCTAGGTGATGGATTATCACATGACCTTAATCTTGACCTTGTTCCATCTCCACACGTTACTGAGCACAAACCCCAGTTCAACCAGTTTCCCCAGACGCCATTCACTTTATCATAATTGACAAGAAAAAAATGTTATATTTGACATAGTATAAGCTGAAAGAAAACAAGATTGCATTTGAGAAAAATGCTATGCCACCGCATTAATGCAACACTAAATTGTAGTGTAGGAACAGATATTTTTTGTTTCTATACAATTGAAGATTGTCATAATGCATAGATCCCTGACCTATCTCATTCTTATTATCAGATTAGTGGTTAAATCTATTGTTAACTCAATAAAGATCAGAGTAGGAATATATCAATGCACTTGAGTCTAGTCAATTTGGTGGTGAAGGTCATATTTCACACAGCCTAAATTTCATGACTGCATCAAAGGACAACACAGTAAGACACTTTGTCAAAATCTAGGTCAGCTGATATCAAAGTTCACTTTTAACTTTGACACTTGAGGCAAAATTTGAACAACTTTGGTAGAGTACCTATAGATGATATCATTGAACAAATATTAAAGCTCTAAGCCTTGTACCTTCAGACAATAAGATTTTTTTATTTTTTACTATATGTTTATATTGAAAATCAATGACCCCGGGCGGGGGCAATTTTGACCCCCAGGGCTATTATTTGAACAATCTTGCTAGAGGGTCACTTCACAATGTTTCATGCAAAATATCTAACCTCTAGTATTTGTCAATTGCTAGAAGAAATTTTTTAAAGTTTTTACTATAAGTTTTTACTATGTAAATATGAGGAAAATCAATGACCCCCGGGCGGGGCCGATTTTGACCCCAGGACTATAATTTGAACAATCTGGGTAGAGGTCTACCTGACATTGCCTTATGCAAAATATCTAAGCTCTAGGCCTTTTGGGTCTTTACAAGAAGGTATTTTAAGAATTTTTACTATATGTACATATAGTGAAAATCAATGACCCCCCAGGCGGGGCTGATTTTGACCCCCGGGATATAATTTGAACAATCTTGGTAAGGGTCTACCAAACAATGCCTTATACAAAATATCTAAGCTCTAGGCCTTTTGGGTCTTTACAAGAAGGTATTTTAAGTTTTTACTATATGTACATATAGTGAAAATCAATGACCCCCGGGGCGGGGCCGATTTGACCCCAGGGCTATAATTTGAACAATCTTGGTAGAGGTCTACCAGACAATGCCTTATGCAAAATATCTAAGCTCTAGGCCTTTTGGGTCTTTGCAAGAAGATTTTTTAAATTTATTCTTATAATTCCTTTTGGTTGCCATGGCAACCAGATTTCTGCATGGAATTGAATTCTTTGAACAACTTTGGAAGCCCTTCACCCAAGGATCAATCCTGCCAAGTTTGGTTGAAATTGGACTAGTGGTTTTTCACAAGAAGATTTTTTAAGTTCACTATATAATCTATATAACACACAAACAAACAAACACACACACACACACACACACACAGGTGAATCGCTATATGCCACCGCATCGCAGATGCTGCGGTGGCATAAAAATAGAGAAAACGGAATCCCTAAAGAACATCCAAAATGACAAACTTGAAAATCTTGCTGGCTCGATTTGATTGAGTATGCGCATGGATTTTAAATACTCTAAACAGGTTCAGCATAAAGGTAGAACATTTTTTGCCAACGAAATAGAATTATATATCATTGATCTTTTTATGATAATGAATGAAATGAGGATAACATCCTCAACTCACCTTCATATAGCTTGTGTTGATTAAGAACAACATGATATTTTTCATTAAAAATAAAACACTTTTAGACAGCCTTTTTGAGGCAGCATCTGTTGAAATCTTTTCTAAATTCATCGGCTAAAATAATGAACAGTGATACGTTTGAAATAACGCATGCATGGAGAGGACCATTAGGTCTTCCTCCAAAACTAAGCCTGAAAGTCGTCAATTGACCTCCTAAAAGTATTTGTTACTTTAACACATTACAATAAAAACATTTCTCTTTGGCATGTTCCTTTTACTGTTTAATAACATTTAATGTAATTATCCTGATTTATTTACTTCCGACAAGCGATGTGTGACATGTTTTTGTGTGGTTCATAAATAAATAAATAATAAATATTTATAAAATATTTTTTATTTTTGTCAGACATGTATAAAAATAACCAAAATAGAGATAACATGATCATAAATATGCTAGCAAAGCTAAAGAATACTATATTTAAACTAAAATAGAAATAACAAACATACACACACAAAACAACAGTTTGAGGAAATCTTAAGGTGATGTTACAAATTTAATACGAACTAAAATGATTAAAACACTTAATATATCATTAAAAGGTAAACAACGATTCTTACTCTCCTATCTTTGTCATCAAAAAATTTGATCATAAATTGTCCCCAAACAGTTGAGCATTTATAATAATAAAGTACATGTATTACCAAGTTTTGTAAATAAGTTTATACTTTTTTACTGCACAGAAAACTTAAATTAAGCTTAAAATGTAGTTTTAGTTGTTGGTTGCTCTAGTCAGTGCAGGTGTTTGTATGTGATTTATTTTTCATAATGAACTTCATAATTATATGAATATGAGGATTAAAAGTTACATACCAATATGTGCGTATACATTCCAGTCAAATTCGTTTGTTGATCTTTCCGGGTAAACATCACTCAATTCACAGATTTGGTCATTACCGTTATAATTGAATGACAGCGCTTGCGGGGTATTGTCATAAAGTAAAGAGCATTTCAATAATGACAGCTCATAGTATGTTTTAAAAGCGTCAGAAACCCGACCGTTTAATTTGAAGAGCTTACTACGCTCACTTGTAGATATTCCTATAAAGAATGCAAATATCAAAAGCATATGTACAGTTTGAACATGTAAACTATCCATTATTTTTATTTAATTTATTGTCAGATAACGTTATCTTTATGATTTTATTTAACGTTTAGCGAGTATTTCATTATGAATACCATTTATATATTAGTGTCATTCAATCGTCCTATTGGTAAGCATTCATCAATCTATTTTAAGTTAACAAAGACAACAATATAGATAGAAATGTTTATGTTTAAATTAATAATAGACATAGGAAAACAAAGCAAATTCGGAAGCTCAATCAATATGAATAGTCATTTCAATTTGACCAATTTGTTTACATGATTACACTAAAGCTTTCGCCAACGGTTGATGATTGACATTTAAAAAGTACGTCATTGTAATATGAATGTTTTAAGAGTGTTCGATTATCAATAATAATCAAAACACAATCAGCTATCAGCCCGATTATGATCTGCCTATTTCGAAAACAATGGTATTTTGTCTGAATGAACAATAAAAAAAGAATCTATTAAACTCTTTAGTATATCTTTATTTATTTCATTTCAACTTCAGAAAAAAATGCAAATTGACGAAATCACCAGTAAAAAAATCGAAGGAGAAAATAAAGGACTATTGACACCATTATTGTTACAATTTTCACTACTTTTTCAACCAAAACATTACCAAACCTGGTAATAAAACAGCTTATTTATTAAGTGTATATACGATATCGATTTGATTTTTATGCAATTGTTTTTTAGTGTCAGTGCAATTATAACGAACAAAGAATCGACTCTTAGGTAATTTTACTTAAATGAATTTTTTTAACACATTGTTATCAACTGTATGTTTTAGGGATTAATGAAACATGGCAGCAATAAATTCAGCAGTCACTTTTTAGATCCAAAAACATAAATGAAACCCTCCAGCAAGTTTTTTTGATTGAATTTATCGCCTTTTATTCCTATGGACAAAATGCCCATAGCAGCCATATACAACAAGTACTTCATCAGTAGCAGAAATGTCATGGACACTTGTTACTTAAAGTCAAATGTTTATTGCGTACATTCAAACTAGAAAAATAAATGTTTTCCACAAACAAAGATGAATATAACAAATCCTATATGTATGTCATGGTGATTTAAATAAAGAAAAATGTGTAGTTATAAAAGAAATTAATAAAAACATATTGAAGTTGCTTGAATTTGAAAAATGTCTTTAATATATAGAAAAATAAAGCTATTTAAATAAGGATACATCTTCAATATATCCAATAATTTTCAGATTAAGACCACTTTGATAACTTAAGCTTGGTAACTGTTGATATTAAAGAGTTGTTATTCAAATTATCATTACAGTATTTTGCCCACCAGTGATCGAACTGAACCATTTACCCTGTAGGTGAAAGCAATAACAACAGAATTTTTTAGCTAAATATATATTCATCATTTACGTAGTATCTGTTGCTTTCGACTATCGGCAATGATTCTTAATGGCTTCAATGTTTTTGAATGTTTTTGAATTTATTTTTTCAATGTTTCGAATACACCTAACGTTGGCGCATTCAATAATGTCACACACAGTTAAATACTTGACGGAATCGGAGTAAATTCTGACCCATTATCGATATTTATCAATATTTTTCGTGCAGGTTACATATTTCTTCTAGTACAAGTTCAGAAATACATAATAGTATCTACCATGTGGAAGAGTTACTTCAAATCCAGTCATTTGTAGAGCTAAAATGTAAAGCGATTTTATTGGTTTACATTATCCATAATATTCAAACGATCAGATGTAGCTATTAGATGCATAAATTTTACTAAACTGTCAAGTTCAGGTTATATAATTGATATTTCTGTTACGGAAATAAGTACGACAATTATATAGATTCGTGTTCACAAACAGATTCGTGTCAAACTGATATATTTTCTACAAGTAACATTCAATGTTTCACACGTCTAACATTTTGTATCGTCCTGTCATATTTTATTCATCGAGAATGTTTGAAATCCCCATTCATTATAATTAAAAATAAAGACTAGGCAATATTTTAGAATTAATAAAAATGCTAATGTGACGCTAAAAAACTAATGTATGTTCGAATGAAAATATTTAAAATGTTTTAGTTATACAGACGAAGAACATTATTTCTCAATTTAAGTGTGATTGATTGGCGTATATACTTAATTCCAATAATTATATATCCAACATGCCGATTTCCTATTTAAATCAATGAAGAAAACCCTGTAATATTCCCATGTGCTGAAATTGTGCAAATACAAACTTTTCAAATACAAAAATGATGCCACTATTAA